TTTATTTCTTTCATGGATTCATTTAAAAATGCTGTATTACAAGTACCCCATGACATGTGGAAATTGAGTCCAAAATGATTAAAAAGAAATTGAAATTTGAGAAAAAGTTTTATTTTAGCTTTATTTACCAACTTATGAATTTATTTCAGGTTTTCTGTATGTATGAGTAATACATAGTTTTTAAAAAATGCATATCTTGGGGCACCTGGGTGGCTCAGTCGGTTAAGCGTCCGACTTCAGCTCAGGTCACGATCTCGCGGTCCGTGAGTTCGAGCCCCGCGTCAAGGCTCTGGGCTGATGGCTCAGAGCCTGGAGCCTGCTTCCCATTCTGTGTCTCCCTCTCTCTCTGCCCCTCCCCCATTCATGCTCTGTCTCTCTCTGTCTCAAAAATAAATAAACGTTAAAAAAAAATAATAAAATAAAATAAAAATAAAAATAAAAAATGCATATCTAGAGGCACCTGGGTGGCTCAGTTAGTTGAGTGTCTGACTCTTGATTTTGGCTTGGGTCATGATTGCAGGGTTGTGGGATTGAGCCTCGAGTCAGGCTCTGTGCTGAGTGTAGAGCCTGCTTGAGAATCTCTCTCTTTCTGTCTCCCTCACTCTCACTTCTCTCTAAAATAATTTTTTTAAATGTTAAAAAATGTTTAAATCTCAAGCAGATTGTTTAAGAGCTATCAAATAAGAACCCTAAGTTGTCAGGAGGCATTGTGTCACAGTCTCTTAATTTTCTTTCTTGTGGTGCATAAAATACTGGCACATCTTTTAATCAGTGATGTCTTAGATTCAAAGAAATGCAGTATATTCAGAATTGAATTACTTAACACCTCTATCACTCCTACCATGGTTTAAGTTGTCATCATTCCAGGACTGGCTTACTGTGACAGCCTCTTGACCACTTTTCTTACTTCCATAGTTGGACCAACTGTAGTCTATTCCCAACACAGTAGATAGAATAATGCTTTTAAAAATAAATCAAGTCATTCCTCTACTCAAAATCCTCTTGTTAATTCTCATCTCATTCTGACTAAAAGCCACAGTCCTTACAAAATCCTACAATATCTGCGCCATTCTTCAGCCTGTCTCACAACCCTGCTGCTTTCATGATTTCCTCTAGTCGTCTTTAAACTTACTTTATTTTAGGGGCACCTGGGTGGCTCGGTTGAGTGTCCGAATTTGGCTCAGGTCATGATCTCACGGTTTGTGAGTTCGAGCCCTGCGTCGGGCCCTGTGCTGACAGCTCAGAGCCTGGAGCCTGCTTCTGACTCTGTGTCTCCCTCTCTCTCTGCCCCTCCCCCACTCATGCTCTGTCTCTCTCACTCTCAAAAATGAAAAAAATGTTAAAAAAAATTTAAACTTACTTTACTTTAGTCAAATTAGCTTCTTTGCACTTCCAGAAATATGCCAAGGATGTGTCTACCTCAGGGCCTTAGTACTTGCTTTTCTCTATGACTGGAAATCTCTTTCCCTTGACTTTTGCATGGTGACCTCAGGTCCTGGTTCAGAGGCCACCTTATCAGTGAGTCCTTTTCTTACTAACCTGTTGAGTATTGCAACTCCCTGTAACACACTTGGCTGGCAGCCCATCCCTATCTCCTGTTCTTCCCTGCTTTACTTGTTTCCAAGACTCCTACCACCATATGACACACACGCATTTTATTTAGTTATTTGTTTTGTCTGTTTTTTTGTTTTTTGTTTTTTCTTTTTCTTTCTGTCTCTCAGGAGCCTTAGGCTATCCAGGTGATTTCAAAACACACCAATTCATATGAGAGGTTTGCAAAGCTGGAGATATTAAATTGATAGCAAATAGGCTGCCTTTAGTTCTAAGTATATATTGCATACACTTGGAAAATATGTAATAGGGTACAAGCCAATACAATTTGCAAGAAAATGAGCCTTTAATTTCAAGAATCAAAAGTTAATGTTAGTTAAACTTATTCTTTTTTTGTTGGGCTGGGAAGTTGAAGTGACCGGGAAAAATGGAAAGACTGAATGCTATCAGTGGACAGCCTTTGCCTTTAAAAAAGGGGAAAATGTGCCTTGATCTCTCTTTCTTGTCTGTATTTGTATTAGGCAATTATAATGTCTTTTGATACAAAGATGGTTTCTTTTTTACGTGCCAGCAAATGGCAGCCATTGGATAAGTTTCTCCTACTTCTCTTTTTCCTTCTGGCACTTCCCGCCATGGTCTTTCTCCACTCTTCTGTTTTCTCTTTGTTCCCCCAAGGCTTGATAACATTAAAAAAATCTTGGATATAAGTTCAGAAGAAAATGAGTTCAATGTGGGGAATCTGAGTGCTAGGAGTTCGAAGAGAGCATGTGGCTGGCTTATAGTGCCTTTTGGCAGAGTGCAGGGGACAGATCTGGCACAGCTCCTCCAGGCCTTCACGGGTGGGGAACTGCTCACCTGGCCAGCACACTGGGCCCCGCAGAGCAGCCTAATCTTCCCTGCCTGTGGGTCACTCACAGTCTGTAAATATAGGGTGGAAGATTCTTCTGGGGTGGAGAAAACGTAAATGAGGCAGTTTGTTCAGCATCTGCTATACATTGTGGCAAGGTACATGCATATGTTGGGCTTTATTCAGATAAATCATTTTGTCATGAGGCATCGTCAGTGCTAAGGTAAATGAATCAATTGTGTTTTGTCATTATGGATAATCATCAGGTTGTGTATTATATAATTTACCTATTCTTGGTCCTGAATTGAGTGCTTTTCATTGAAATACCTGTTGGCAGACCTGGGGATGACTTATGGCCCTTAGTTTGCTTCAATTTGTTCTTTCAGAGCTTCTCCACATTGTTCCAGTGATTCAGGCCCCAGAGGTCCCTGATGACACCCTAACAGGAGGGTAAGAGGACTATCTATCCAGGCAGAGTGTTTAGGCAGATAACATGAATGGGAATGCAAGGAAGATTCCCTACCCTTACCCCTGCCCCTGCTACAGAGCAATTACTGCACAAGACAGCGCAATCTCCTTTTTTTGTGCCTAGCAGAAATTCCTAGATTCCTAGATAACAAGCATTGATTCAATTATGTGACATAAATAATTAGAAAGACTTTAACTCTTCTAGGGTTTGTTTTCCATATAAGTGACTTTTAAAATGTAGCTTTCCCCCTCCCTCAAATATCCCACCATGACTTCAGAGATTTACAAAAGAATTATGCTTCTATCCTCTGGTTTTCATCTTCCAAATTCTTTAATTTTTCATCTTATAGAAAGAAGCTACCAACATACGAAAGAAAAAAATCTCACCTGAATGCACTATATCAATGTCTAACTTACCTCATCCTTCATTTTCTCTGCCAGAGTCTCTCTCCCCCACAGATTCACATTTTTCACTGCCTGCAGGGGTGTTAGAATGTAGAGTTCCCTGAGCTGGTACCTCCAATGTTTCTGGTGTTTAAAAGTCCCTAGTCTTTCTGGCTACTACCTTTTCTTCCCTAGAGCCTATTCCTTTGAGCAAACTGCCTTTTTCTGACTTCTGGGAATAATTCTCTAGCACGCACTGCCTTTTTTCTTGACCTACAAGTCCATTTAAAGCCACAGACCCCACCAAATGTCAACTGTTTTTTCCCAGCTAGTCAACAAGTAGAGAGAACAAAACCACATTCAGTAAAGATATTCCTTCTCAGTTCCCAAGCCAGGGGAGACACATGCAAAGATACTCAAAGATCTATTAAAGGATTCTGGATAATGGCAAAATCTGGAGACAGTATACCAAGCAAGGTCAGATTATTCTAAAAATATATGTCTTAGAGTACAAGAGATGCCTTATTTCTTTTTTTTAATGTTTATTTATTTATTTTGAGGGAGGGAGGGAGGGAGAGAGAGAGAGAGAGAGAGTGAGAGAAAGAAATTCAATCAGGCTCCATGCTGTCAGCATGGAGCCTGATGCAGGGCTTAATCTCACGAACTGTGAGATCGTGACCTGAGCCAAAATCAAGACTTGGATGTTTTACCGACTGAGCCACCCAGGTACCCCAAGAGCTGCCTTATTTCTATCTATATCTGATGCAGTACCTAGAGCAGTGACCATCACAGAGGACATTGTATTGTAAAATGATCTGGATTGCTGTGTGACTGTGTTGTTATCTTAGGTATCATGCGAACATACACCATCTCCCCTAGCAAGACCCAGCTGGGCAGACATCTGAGGTACCTTGTCTTGATCCATCTAATTGCTTTCAAATGTCCCACCATGGAAGCAGTCAGCAGGGTTGTGGGACAGTTTAGAGGAATGGATAAGTGCTTAGGTTCTGGAATTGGACTCTGAGCTCGAATCTTGGCTCTACTACTTTAGAGTTGTGTTACTCTGAGCAAGTCACATAATCTATCTGAGCTTCAGCTATCTTATTCATAATATAAGAATAAGCAACCCCTTGCTAAATGGCTGTTATAAGGATAAAATGAGATGATCATGCAAAGCTCTCAGCACATATTGTAATAACCATACATTTACTGTGATTGTATAGAGAGGCTAAGACACAAGAGTCAATAAATGGCTTCACATAATCGCTGCCCGATATTCTGAAAGAACCTGTGATCAGCACCAATCAAAGGTCATTTTGTAAAGGAAGGCAGCGTGATTTCACAGTGGTAGGAAGTGAATTTGTTTAGGTCTGCACACTCTCCCTGCTGTATTCCACCAGGCACACCAGACTACATATCAGGCTGAGGCTTGGATGCAGCCCATCCTCATTGTGGGCAGCAAATTGCATGTCTACGTTTATAAATAGAGTGTGTCCTGATCCATGTGTAGTTCACTCCTGTGGCGCCACCAAGGAAAAGTTTCCTCCTTGGGGTTGCAATGGGTTACCTGACTTGGTCTACCTACACTAATACACAAAGCAGGAACATGAAGCTTTCTACAACATTTTCAGGTTCATATTCATTTTGGTGGTGGCGTTATTCCCTAGATGCCGAGGTGAGCCAGCATGAAATCAGGGGAGATGAATTAGCCAACAAACCCAAAGATTGCCCCACGTTTGTCGTGTCTTACATTTGGTTGCAGAGAGCTGGGATTTGTACTGCCCTCGGACCAGTCGGCAGGTGGACCCATCCCCGTTGCAGACTCCACAGTTATCTTCCTTCATGGTGCTTCCGAGCTGGTGATCACAGCCAACAATCTAACAGGAAAGAGAGATGTATAATTCAAGCAGGTGCTCACTGTAGGGATCCATTGTGGGGCCCATCATCAACCACTAAATGACCCTCCCTTCATTTCTGAGGAAGCATAAAACATGCTTCCCATAAAGGGGAGTGAATTCAGCTGGAATTTCAATCAAGCTAGGGAAGAAAACAGGTAACGATGTTTTTACAGTTTAAATATATAAACAGAAAGAAGGGTGGAGAGAGAGAAACAGAGAGACAGAGGGAGAGAGAGAGAAAAGAGGCAGGGGAGAAGGTGAGGGAGAAAGGAAATCTTCAACTATTGATATTATAGAGTCTTCATTAAAAAATCATTCCCACTGTCAATAATTATGATTCACGAAAACTACAAAAATACAATCACGAAGTAACTGTAGCAGGAAAAGTTGCAAGAATTATTTTCATGTTCCATATGTTCCTTAGGCTGTAAGCTGTGTAAGGGAAGGGGCTTTATATATGGGGTCCATTGGAGTACATTGATGTATTCCAAGCCACTAGAAGAATACTGGCAAAATATAAGCCCTTAATAGATACTTGCTGAATGATAATGAAAATACGTCCCTTTCTATAGCACAACTAAGAGGCAATCACAGAATCATCTGACAGAGGCAAGATCATTGTATGTATGTGTGGTAGGAGAGGAGGGTTGATGTGGAAGGCAGCAGATAGAACTAATACTGAGGCCCTTTTTGCCTGGCCATGTCCTGTACCAGGCACAAGCATCTTGTTAATTCTGAGAACAATTAGGCAAGGTATGTCTCCATTTTATAGCTGAAGCCATGAATCTTGCCAAGGTTACTTTGCTAATAAGTAGCTGAGTTCTAAACACATCTAACAAAACATTTATGCTTAGTCCAAATCAGGCTTAACAAAATCACAAGCACTTAATCAAGTATATGGACAAACTCATTTGTACTTTTATTCTTTCTTTCCTCTCCAGTGTTCAAGTTAAAAAATTCAAATCCAAACTGTATCAGGTTGTATTTCTATAGTTCTAGTTAGAGCTAATATCAAAAGACTTATTTCACTTCCAAATGATTTCAACTATTGTCTTTGACAAAAGTCAAATGAAAACTGTAGGGACATCGGAAGGGGCTTCTCTCCAGAAAGTCTCCACAATGCATTTCGTCCTTCAAAAATCTGACTGTTAAAATGACCTTTCTTTGAGGCTTGATTTTCCTTTTGTACCTTTAATTAATAATTGCAAACACACGTTTAGGCAAAGGTTTGAGAAATACAATTATGTAGCAATGCATTACACATGTGCTGCATTTTAAAATGCCGTAATGTGTATTTTTATACACATCATACATATACAGGAAACTTTTAAAATAGATGACAAGGCAGTAACTCCTTCAACAATTGTACATTGTTTGAAATACAAAGTTGTCAGGAAAACACACTGCCCAGCCTTATGTGGGGAGCAAAGGTGGTTTGGCTCTGTCCTAGGGGTTCACTGTGGTCAGGCTGCAATTCACCTCAATATGTTCACAGGTTGCAGTGAGGCCACGTCAGAATTCACCCAAGCTTCATCCCTGCAGAGCCAGCACATGCTGGTCTACGACTTCATTGGTATGTTTCTATGGAGCTGCAGTAAAATTATTTTCAAAAACTTTCTGTAGACGAATCCACATAGGAGCTGAGTTGTATTCTGAGCGCAGTGTGAAATGGGAGTCCAGAAGTAACTTATTTACAAAAAACAAAAAAAAAATCATTTAATCATTTAGCCAACAATGACCAAGACCTGCTATGGGCCAGGCACTGTGATAGGAGCAAAATCCAATGGTGATTTAAGCACATAAGGGCCTACCCCCATGGGACTTAGAGTCTAGTAGTGGAGGAACATATTACTCAAAGCATCACACACAAAAAATGTAAAATGATAATCGTGATTCAAACTATAAAACGCAGATGCGTGATACCCTGAGAACATAAAATATGGAGAATTTGATCTGGTTAGGGAGGTCAGAGGTCTTCCTGAAGAAGAGTCTTCTGAGCTGGGATATGAATGAGATGCCAGAGTTAACTAGACGAAAGGGGAGTGCTGCTGTGAGATTTACTGCACGTCAGTCATGTGCAGTAACTAGCTAGTTAGAAAGTAATTCAAAACCAAAGTTGGCAAAAAACAAAAGCAAAAATGTCAGAAGACTAAACCATCTGATTGCCTTAATAGGGCTGAATCCTTTGGAAAAACATGGCAGTCTTAATTTAGGCAGTATTCAAAGAACCATTGATTCATCTGTTCCTTAGGGTTGGAAAGAGATGACCCTAATCTTATAAGATACTCAGCACTATGGAAGGGTGATAGGCAGTGGGCATGGGAATTTACACTCTCAGGTGTCTCAAAAATAACTGGGTTTACTCTTTAAACTAAATAAATTTCAGGTTCCTCAACATATTTAACTTTCTCTGGAAAAATTTTAGCAGTCTCTCATGTACCTAAAGAGCCAAATAGGAGATTACCATGAAAATCTCTCTCTAATCCTAAAGATTTCTTATGGCTCCAAAGCCATTTTAAGAAAAGAACAATCCAGCTTCACAGATCCAAAGTAGCAGTCTAATAGGAGCATCTAAATAGAAGGTGACATACGTTAAGGCTAACTTAACCAGATGTTAAGTGGATTTATGGGCATCAAAATATGAACCAAGTGAGTTCGAACTGGGCTTTGTTTAACTTCAGAATTGAAAAGACAAACATCTCCCTGACACACTTTTCCCTACTTTGTATCAATTCCTGTTTAAGGTGCCAAAATATTCTAACTCAATTATTTTTAAAACGTGGAATATTTTAGCATCAGATAAAATGTTCTTATTTTGGTCCAAGTGGAAAACTGTTTGCAGTTATATCAAAAAAAATCATTACTGACATATCTCAGTCTGCCTCAATCTATTGATCTGGAATAACTGTTAGATTAATTAAAAATTAGTTAAATGGGGCGCCTGGGTGGCGCAGTCGGTTAAGCGTCCGACTTCAGCCAGGTCACGATCTCGCGGTCTGTGAGTTCCAGCCCCGCGTCAGGCTCTGGGCTGATGGCTCAGAGCCTGGAGCCTGTTTCCGATTCTGTGTCTCCCTCTCTCTCTGCCCCTCCCCCGTTCATGCTCTGTCTCTCTCTGTTCCAGAAATAAATAAATGTTGAAAAAAAAAATTTAAAAAAAATAAATAAAAAATAAAAATTAGTTAAACTATTACCCTGAGGGATATCATTAATAACAGAGAAAAAAAGAAATATACAGAAATGAGCTTATTTGGCAGTTATAATGACAGATCTCTCTGTGCCTTTGCACATACTATTATTTCTGCCTAGAGTGCTCTTCTTAAATTCTTAATTTAGAAGAATCCTATTCATTCTTCAAATCTCAAATTAAGTGTCTCCTCCTCAAAAAAGCCTTTTTTAGGTTCCAGAGCTAATGGCTTTATTCCTCTATGCATCCTCTATGCGGCCATTTGCTCATACCTCCATGTGACAGAGATTATTGGTTGCCACCCAACATCCATCTTCCCTATTTTTCTCAGTAACAGAACTTCAATTTTATTTGGGGGTAGCAATATATCCAGTTAAAAGAATATATTTTTCATTGGCTGTGTGACCAACTTGTAAATAGTGAAATAAAAGTGAAAGTGTTGTGTGGGACTTCTGGGAAGTCTACTTGAAAGAAGCTGATTAGGGCACCTGGGTGGTTCAATCAGTTAAGTGTCCTCCTTAGGCTCAGGTCATGATCTCACGATTCGTGAGATCAGGCCCCGCATTGGGCTCTGTGCTGACAGCCCAGAACCTGGAGCCTGCTTCGGATTCTGTGTCTCCCTCTCTTTCTCTCTCTGCCCCTCTCCAGCTTGTGCTCTCTCTCTCTCTCTCTCTCTCTCAAAAATGAATAAGCATTAAAAAATTTTTAAAAAAGCAGCTGACTTAGATAGCCCCTCCTGCCCTCTAACACTCTCCTTCCTTCCTGTTGTCTCCAGTTGCTATCTTGACAAATGAGACAATACTAAGAATGGGAGCCTTGCAGTAAGGATGGCAGAACAGAAAGAAAGAGCTTGGTTCTTGAACTCCCCTTGGACTGATGACGAGTTGACTTCTTTTTTTTGTGAGAGAGTAAATCCTTTATGTGCTTAAGCCATTATTACTTTGGGGTTTCTTTTATATACACCCAATTCAAGTAGTTGTATAACTTATATTGAGCTTAATCTATTAATATGTCTGTTTCCATACCAGATCATGGGCTATTTGAGAGGCTGTGTTTCATTAATTAATCTTTGTGCGTCTGCTGTATGGCACAGCGTTTGACATTTGACATGCACAGTGAATGCTGGTGAATCAATGAAACACATAGCAAACATAATGGTTTGTTAATGAAGGCATTGTAGATTACAGATAGGCAGCTTTAGACTGCAGTCATTGATAGCACACACATAGACAAAAATGCACATGTATGTGTGTATGTGTGCTTGTATGTATCTGTGTACACAGAAGAACAGACACATCATAAATGACAACTACAGGTCAAACTTAAGCTTCTGCCTGATGCATGCACAAGAATTACAGTAAAGGGCTAGTATTTTTAAGAGACTATTTCCCAAGTGCACCTATGCTCATTATTAGTGAAGTGTCATAGAAGGCAATGTTCAGGTCACTGAGTTCCCAGGCCCACCCCATTCTGGACAAAACATTAAAGTGAGATAGTGACCACTCATAACTTTGGCAACTACGCAGAATATTTTTATAAAGGGTGGAACACTAACTGAATATTTTGGCCTAATGTATTTTTTTTTTTTACTTTATTTATTTTTGAGAGAGAGACAGAGTACAAGCAGAGGAGGAATAGAGAGAGAGGGAGGCACAGAATCCGAAGCAGGCTCCAGGCTCCTAGCTGTCAGCACAGAGCCTGACGTGGGGCTTGAACTCACAAACCGTGACATCATGACCTGTGCCGAAGTTGGTCACCCAACCGACTGAGCCACCCAGGCGCCCCTGGCCTAATG